AATCCACATGAAGAACATTTGATTGTAGTCAGTTCATTTTCTGTGTTTGTTCATGTTTCCACTAAATACTTTAAAGTAATGTATAGTTCAGGTTTTGGATGATTTTGATGATACAGTTTTTGATATTTTATTTCCAGTGTAGTTTGATATATTTCAGCTCATTCTGTATGATGATTCTCTCTGTGCTGATATGCATGAGAGGCTTCTTAAAGGGAAGTGAAACAATGTGTGAGTGAGTGAGTGACTGGTGGAGCAGAAAAACCATCTGACAGAAACTCCTTAAAGGAGAAAATCAACTCTCACACAGTAAAGGTGTCCAAGTGTCTGCTGCTTGATTGACAGCTGTGTGGACCCTGTCCTCTAAGCTGATCCGTGTCTCCTAGGTGATGTCCGTCCCACCCTGACGGTGCTGCCCCCTCCAGTGAGGAGCTGCAGCAGGGGAAGGCCACGCTCATGTGTCTGGCCAACAAGGGCTTCCCCCTCAGACTGGAGTCTGTCCTGGAAGGTGGACGACAGCAGCAGCAGCATCAGCTGGGAGGAGAGCAGGAGCCCCGGGGTGCTGAAGGACGGCCACTACAGCTGGAGCAGCACCCTGAGGCTCTCTGCAGACCACTGGAGGAAGGTGGGCTCTGTGACCTGTGAGGCCACCCAGGGCTCCCAGACTCCGCTCTCAGAGACACTGAGGAGAGACCAGTGTTCCCAGTTCTGACCTGACTCACTGGGACTCTGATACTGGTTTTACTCTGCTACTGCTCTCAGTCTGTACTGTGCAAGACTCTCTCTCTCTCTCTCTCTCTCTCTCTCTCTCCCCCTCTCTCTCTCCGCTTGTTTTTCAGTTGATTGTGTCAAAATTTAAAAATAAATAAAATGTTATCAGATCAACAGTCTCCATGAGATCATTATTCATGTATCATGTCTTACGTGTCATTAGCTTTCCCATATATCATATATGTTTAGAAACATTAGAAAGATTCATCTATACAGCATCACAATAACAGCAACTGTATACATTTTTTTTTACAAGATTATCTTGAATACTCTCATGACTTGGCAAAATGTTCTCCTTCTGTTGAATTGAATTGAATTGAATTGAAATATCTTTAATGTCCCCAAGGGGCAATTTGGTTCACAACAGGTAGCCAACACATACACATTCGCACAAAAACACATAAAAACATGAAATGATGAATAGATAAAAGCATAAATACACATGTGCAATATATATATATATATATATATATATATATATACATATAAATGAAAATAAAAAATAAAAAGTGAAAAAATGTACTGTGACATGGACAGGGATGGAAGATGACCTATAGTTTGTTGAGAAACCCAACAGCTGATGGTACAAATGATTTCAGGTATCTGTTAGACCTGGCACGTTTTCGGGAGGTATACCTCCTTCCTGATGGTAGGAGGCAAAACTCAGAGTGTAGTGGGTGAGTGATGTTAGCCAAAATGGCCATTGCCCTCTGTGTGGCTCTGGCCTCATACACATACCCAATGCTGTTGAGGTCAGTGGCAATTATTTTCTGACATATATTTTACACAGTCTGTTTTTGTTGATTACACTCAAATTGCCAAACCAGCAGATCATAGCAAAAGTTAAAATTGACTCAACAAAGGATGAATAAAATGTTTTCAGAAGTGATCTGTCAACATTAAACCCCTTCAACTTTCTTAAGAAAAACAGTCTCTGATTGGCCTTTTTACATATATAGTCTGTATTGGTGTCAAAGTTTAATTTATCATCTAAAATGGTGCCCAAGTACTTGTATTGGCTTACCACATCCAACGCTGTGCCGTTAATCAAAGTTGAAGCAGTGTTCAAACATACTCTGACAGTCATTGGTGTAGAGTACAAATAAAAGTGGTGACAGAACACACCCCTGAGGTGACCCTGTGGAGCACGTGAGGGCCTTAGATAAAGTGTTATTTACCCGGGTTCTCTGTGACCTCATAGTTAGGAAATCAACCAGCCAGCATATGGTACCAAAGTCAATATCAGAAAACTGCAATAGTCTGTGAGCAAGGATATGGGGCTGCATACAGTTGAATGCTGAGGAGAAATCAACAAAACACAGGTGTGCATGTGTCTTCTTGCCCTCTAAGGGCCCTATCTTGCCGATCTGAAACGCACGTATCAAACGCAAAACGCAAGTAGCTTTGTGGGCGGATCTCGGGCGCTGTTGCTATTATGCCGGCGGGATAAATGACTCTTGCGCCCGGTGCAAATCTAAAATTGGTTGGTCTGAAGTAGCTACATTGGTCATAGGTGTGGTTTGGGCATAACGTGCAATAAACCAATCAGAGAGTCATCTCACATTCCCTTTAAAAGCAGGCGCGCTTGTTCTATGGCGGATTGCTATCATAACGGCGGATTTGCCAGGCGCACGTCAGGAGCGGTTCACAGCCGTGGAGACCGACGTTCTCGTCAGGGCCGTAAAATACCGAGAAGTGTCATTATTGACATGAAATAAATGTAGCACAGCCATACAATAAATCTAAACAATGTAACGCAGCTTCGCAGGAAGAAGACCCTGGCCTCGGGAGCAGTGCGCACGGGCCGAACAGTGCGCAAGGGCCAGCTGAGGAGGGAGCAGTGCCAACACCAAGGAGCAGAGGATCCAGACCCACTACACACCGGAGGACCACCCGTTCCTGCAGCAAACCAGGTTTGACATGCTGGAGCAGGAGCTGTCCGGGATGCGGCAAAGTATTAATGCCCGTCCTGACGGGGTGGCGATGTTGCTGCTGCCTCTCAGGCGCATCCCCTCAAGTCTGCACCCTTAAAATAGCATCTGAATAAGCGCCACTGACTTTAGACTAGGTTTTTCCTGGTCTTTGGCGGAATTCTTTTCTGAAACAGCAAAATAGCACCAGGGAACGTTTGCGCCGGAACACGCCTCCTCTTTTCGCTGAACCACCCCTGGAGCGCAAATTCATTCCTTAATTTAAGGACGTGCGTCGGTGGAGGGAAAATTCCAATGTGTGTCGAGTGCAAAATAGGAATTATACAAGCGCCAGTGTACGCCTTTGCCACTGGAACCACTACTGATTCTTTCCATAACCCTGGGACTTTCCTTTGTGATAGCGAGAGTTGATTGCGAATCTCTGGTGGAATTTCATCGCGTAGGGTCCACGGGGCTGAACTGCATTGGATGAGGAAGTCCCAACTGTACTGCAGTCTGTGAGACGAGTTGGTTTGATGATGGTTCACAACAGTCCCAAGAGTAAGCATGTTCATAAGCACCGTGTTGAAAAGATCCATGTTAATTCCAAAATATTGGGATACTCTTACATTCCCGCGGCTAGTTCAAACATGACAGACGAGATACAAGACAATTACGCACACACGCGGCTCCTGCTGTATGTTGCCGCAGCAAGGCAGCACCATGTTGTCACTTCTATCTGCTTTATTGAACCTTGTTAATATGTTTAGATAAATTCAGTATCACTCAATTATGTCATCATTCATGTCTGAATTTTATGAGGGTTCATATGCAACGATGGCTCAAACTGTTCCTAGAAACTAACTCAAACCCCTGCATGAATAAAGAACCACTTTAAAGAGGATTTTAAGGATTAGATGCATAAAGCAGCATATCGTCTGCATAAAGTTATACACAACGTCTGTGAAATTCTTTTTTCTGAGACTATGAAAATGAGTACAGATTCACTAACATGAGTTGACAACATTTACAATCAATAAGCATCAGTTCGTTAAATTAGTAATGTCATCAACTGCTGGTATGTGTTGCTGTCTGAAATCCTTAAACATATATAGACAGAGTGTGTCTCAGTAAATGATTCATATGACTCTATTATTTTAGCTCACAGTGATGCATTACCCACCACAGTTTCGTGAACAGTTGATGGGATTGTGTCATACATATTACATCTGATTGCTCTGTCAGTACACCCTGAATGCGTGATAAATCCCACCAAATTCTTTTCAGTAAATGGAATAAGGCACAGAGCGATATGGTGTGGCAATCTTGTGCCACACTTGAAAATGAATTAGTATTTGTTTATAATTATTATTTACTATTGTTTGTTTCTGTGTACTGTACATGTATTGATTTTGCACATACATTGAGCAAATATTCTGTTTAAATCTGAATCATGAAATGTGTGTGTGTGTGTGTGTGTGTGTGTGTGTGTGTGTGTGTGTGTGTGTGTGAGTGTGTGTGTGTGTGTCCTCAGTGAAGTGTATCAGTCTCTGCAGTAGCTTCCAGCTGCAGCAGTCAGTTCAGTTTCTGTTCAGTCTGACTGAGGGAGGTTTTTGTACGACGCTTTTTCACTGTGTGAACAACCACTGACTGCTGATGTAATGAGCACTCTGACAGTAGTAAACTGCTGCATCTTCAGTCTGGACTCCACTGATGGTCAGAGTGAAGTCAGAGTTTGATCCACTGCCTGTAAAACGACCTGGAGTCCCTGATTGTCGAGAAGTTGCTCTATAGATAAGCAGTTTAGGAGCTTCTCCATCTTGCTGTTGGTACCAGGCTAAAAAGTCATTATTATAAACGTTCTGACTGGTCCTGCATGTGATGGTGACGGAGCGTCCCAGAGCAGAGCTCACTGCTCCAGACTGAGTCACTGTGACCTGGCCTCTGGACTCTGAGGATACAGAGACAAAAACATAAAGCAGCGTCATGGTTTTGTGGGCTTCATTTCAGAGGGACGGATGTTCATAGAGGAGAGGAGTTTGATTCTCTGGACTTTACCTGTGAAGCAGCAGCAGAGGAGAGTCCAGATGAGGACGGAGATCAAAGTCATGTTTTTGATGAGGAGGATTTCTGTGTCTTCTGTTGTCATGAAGGACAGCTGTCAGTCATCCAGTGTTCAACTCTCAGGACTATAAACTCTCCCAGAGCACTGGAGCATGGTGCTGCTGATGCAAAGTGGCTCTCTATGGAAATGCTCTGACTGACTCCAACAGGGACTTGGATTCCTCTCATGATGCTGTTTATCAATGGATCAATCACTTTATCAGAGTATTGATTAGGAATGTGTCAGTGCTCAACATCACTGTGGGACATGTTTAAACAAAATTATAATTTTTATTATTTATATTTATTTACTTATTTTATATTCTTCATACTCTACAATAAAGATTTGTTTATTATCATTGTTTATTTTTTGTCATGTTTTATTGGAGAGGTTTTTCTTTGGAATTTTTTTATTTCAATGTTTCAATGAAAGATGAATCAACAAGGCTTATTTTACAAAAAAAAGATTAAATACATATTCATAGTTTATTTTTTGGACACTTTAACCAGTTATTAGATAAACTAGGTAAACTGGGAATGTGTTTGCTGAGTTTGTTTGTGTCAAAGTCAGAGAGCCGTGTCTCTCTACAGTGAGAGGTTTTTGTACGGCGGCTCAATGAGTTTGTATCACTGTGGTGGACTTTTGGTGGAGGAACCAGACTGGAAGTTAACTGTAAGTACATTTAACTCCTTTAACAACCAATAATCTTTATGTATTCTGTTTTAATCTCATAGCTGTTGACCTTCTTGGAATATTTTGCCTAATATTTGAAATCTAATGTCTTTAGAACAATTCATAAAGGCTTCAGAGTGTCATTAACCAGACTACAATCCACTCCAATTGATAATGTTTTGCAATAAAGCTTTAATTTTCTACATTCTTATCAGTTAATTGTAGAAAACTACTAAGCAATACTCTGTAAGGAGAGAAAGTCTTTAAGTTTAAGTTTTACTGTTTACGATCAAGAACTCTGCCAATAGTTTTGGTTCAGTGTTTAATGTGTATGGGTAATACTCAATCTTACTCCCAGAGTAACAATATTAAATCCATTCCACATATTTTATTATGAGAATGTCATGAGTTTGAAGTAGTTCAGTAGTTAACTAAATTAATTTGAATGTTTCTGACTTTTCAATGATGATTCCTGCTTACATGAAGAGAACAAACACATATCATCATTTATCAGGTTTTAGTTTGACACAAGAAATATTTGAGATGGTTAAAACAATAACAGTGTTACAATCTTCATCTCATGTTTAACAAGGAATCTTTGACTTTTTACTTTATTATTTAAAAACTATACACTGGACTAAAAGTGAGCCAGTTTTAACTTTTTATCTTTAGTACTGAAACCTGTCTGTTGTCATGGTTCAGCAGTGATGCCTGCCTGTTGCCATGGCTACTGAGCTCAGAGAGGGAAGTGAAACCTTTAAGACCAGTTTCATTCAGTCTGAAGAAGACCATCAGAACTAGAAGCCTCCTCTGCTGCAACCAACAGGATGGAGTTCAGTTTATCTCATATTAACTTTATTAATCTCTCTCTCTGCAGTGGGTCGAGTCGTCCCCACCCTGACGGTGCTGCCCCCCTCCAGTGAGGAGCTGCAGCAGGGGAAGGCCACGCTCATGTGTCTGGCCAACAAGGGCTTCCCCTCAGACTGGAGTTTGTCCTGGAAGGTGGATGGCAGCAGCAGCAGCAGCAGCTGGGAGGAGAGCAGGAGCCCCGGGGTGCTGAAGGACGGCCACTACAGCTGGAGCAGCACCCTGAGGCTCTCTGCAGACCACTGGAGGAAGGTGGGCTCTGTGACCTGTGAGGCCACCCAGGGCTCCCAGACTCCGCTCTCAGAGACACTGAGGAGAGACCAGTGTTCCCAGTCCTGACCTGACTCACTGGGACTCTGATACTAGTTTCACTCTTCTACTGCTCTCAGTCTGCACTCTGCAATACCGTTGCACTCTCTCACACTCTTTCTCTCTGTGTCTCTCTGTGTCTCTCTCTCTCTCTCTCTCTCTCTCTCTCCTCAATGGTTTCAAGATTCAAAAATAATAAAGATTTAATAAAATCAACAGTTTTCATGAGAGTATTATTCATTCAGCATGTTTATACATATTTAGAAACATTAGAAAAGTTCCTCTATAATTACCAGTTGTATATGCTTTAATATACCTTGTTAATTATACCCATGTTTTGACCAAATCTTTACACAAATTTTCAAAAAAAGTTCAGATAGAGATTTTCATAGTTATATACACAGAGCAGCGCATCATCTGCATCAAGTGATATACAATATTTTTGATCTGAGATTTTCCTCCGAGAATATTAAAACTTCAAATTACTGATTCACCACAGGACTTCATGAATGGGTTGATAACATTTACAATCAATAAAAAACAATTAATTAAATAAGAATAATAAATGATAATTGTACTGTTTTTTACACTGCTATTGGAGTTGGCTTTCTAATCTCATCGTACATGTGTACAGTGACAATAAAGGCATTCTTTTCTATTCTATTCTAAGTCAAGTCATGAACTGCTGTCATGTGTCAGTCTGAAATTCATTAAATCTACAATGACAAAGTGTGTCTCAGAGAAAGATTTTTAGGATATTACCATTTTAGCTCATGGTGTCATGAACAAATTATGGGAATGTGTCATACATGTCACAGCTCTTTCAGTACAACCTGACAATAGATGTTTTGCTGTTGCTGTTGTTTTTGTGAAATTAACAGATGTTATATATATATAATCACAATACTTTTAATGTCTGATTTAAATTCTATTTTTGAGGTGGATTCTTATTTAACTTAACACTTCAGTTAATTAGTATTATTGAAGAATTACTTTAAATGTAATATTTGAAAGATTGTGAAAAACATTTCATTATTTTAATAAATATATGCATTTTTTGTGTCAATATTTCATCTGTATTATCCTTTCTTATTTTGTAAATATATCTGATGAACATAAAAACGATAATTAGAACTGACTTTTAATGTATACATAAAGAGAGTTTGTTACTCTGTAAACTGTGTTCAGCTAGTGTAGATGTACAATGCATTGTGGGAAAATATTAATTTATAATATTATTAACTCTAGATATACTTACAGTTACTAACATATATCTGTGTAAACCTGTCTGATGAGAGACTTGACATCAGTTGACTCAAACTCAAAGGTAAATCATTTATCTTTGCCTAAAAAAAGAAAAAGGAATTTGTGAAATGTGATTGATTATATTAAATGCCGTATTATTAGAATTACATGTAATTATGAGGTGTGTTTTAGTTGTATCTTGTTGCCATTTAGTTTCCATGCAGCTGTTGATTTAGTTCCTCTTAGCTGAGGGAGGTTTTTGTACGACGCTTTTTCACTATGTGAACGGAAAGCTGTTGTGCTGCTGACAGTAATAATCTCCTGCATCTTCAGTCTGAACTCCTCTGATGGTCAAAGTGAAGTCAGTCTGAACTGCTGTTGCACTGAAACGATCTGAAACTCCAGACTGACGATATGTAGTATCAGAAATCAAGAGTTTAGGAGCTTCTCCAGGTTTCTGAAGGTACCAGTTAATGTCATGATGACATATAATAACCCAAGTCAGATGAAGAGTTTCTCATCGTTGGTGATAGTTAATACATTCTGGGATTACATCATGCAGGTAGAAACAAGGTGTGACTGAAGAATGAAAATAGGTCATTTATATAAAATCATGTTTAAAGGTTGTTTAGATTAATCTCCAATAATGAATAGTGTCTTAAGGATTAGAAACAAAATGTTTTAGTATTGTCAGCATAAGATCAAGCAAGCCAGAAAGTATTAGCCACCATGGGAGATAACACATGAGACAAAAGTGAACACAATCAAAACTAAAGAAATAATACACATGAGTTAAAACCACTTGGGAAAGTTACACAATTTTAAGTATACAAATAAAATAAAATAAAATAAATAAGACATGCAATTTAAAACCATTCATAATAAATTAAGGGGAAAAAAAGTCTGAAGAAAATGAATTGGTTTGAAATATAAAGCAGGAGGTAATAATTAGTACAGTACAGTTAGAAATAACAGGATTAGTGAAAAATGTGCATACAGCCTGCTACTTGTGTCCCCCCATACTGGACACTTCTTCATGTGTGTGTGAGAAAGACGTGAAACAACATCCAATAACACAAACAGGGCGATCTATAATCCCTTTTGCATTAGAATTAGTATTTAAAGAGCTTCCTTAGCTCAACGAGACTCTGAGACGTATGGGGTAACATCATTTTATTTGAGCGAGGCTGACCTGGACACGTGTGTTCCTATCTTAATAATCACAGTAGATCATTGAATTTACACTGACAGTGTTTGTCCCTGAGTCAAATCTGAACTATTTAATACAGGTGATCATTTTAATAGAGAAATGTAAGGATTATGCACACAGCACATCTGATAGCTCTGTCAGTACAATCTGATTTATACCTCTGTGTGTGTTTGTATTCATATCTTCATCCTATTTGCAATATCTCTTTAGGAACACAGAGGGTCATGCTGTCACTTAAGTACAAGTTTAATAAATGTTTTATGCTACGTAGCAGCGATACACAGACTGAATACACACCACAAGAGCTGCATGCTCTGCATTGTGTACTTCTGGATTGCTGTTATATTGCCATTCCTGCTTTTCATCAGGCCCTCATATTGTGACATTTTCATCTGCTCATTAACTGTCTCACGTTAGCACCATTCTATTAACTGAACAATACATAAGATTATATAACTATAATAGGATATAAATGGATGGTGAGAAGCTGTGATAGAGAAAGTAAAATGGATTTTCAACAAGATTATCTTTTACTGTGTTGATACATGTTAAATGGTTGTTTAAGCAATAATGGTGAAGTGTGTGTGTGTGTGTGTGTGTGTGTGTGTGTCCTCAGTGAAGTGTATCAGTCTCTGCAGTAGCTTCCAGCTGCAGCAGTCAGTTCAGTTTCTGTTCAGTCTGACTGAGGGAGGTTTTTGTACGACGCTTTTTCACTGTGTGAACAACCACTGACTGTTGATGTCATGAAAACTCTGACAGTAGTAAACTGCTGCATCTTCAGTCTGGACTCCACTGATGGTCAGAGTGAAGTCAGAGTTTGATCCACTGCCTGTAAAACGACCTGGAATCCCTGATGCTCGAGTGCTAGTTGTATAAATGAGGAGTTTAGGAGTTTCTCCATCTCTCTGTTGGTACCAGTGTAAATAGCTCCCACCATGAACCCTCTGACTGGTCCTACATGTGATGGTGACGGAGCGTCCCAGAGCAGAGCTCACTGCTCCAGACTGAGTCACTGTGACCTGGCCTCTGGACTCTGAGGATACAGAGACAAAAACATAAAGCAGCGTCATGGTTTTGTGGGCTTCATTTCAGAGGGACGGATGTTCATAGAGGAGAGGAGTTTGATTCTCTGGACTTTACCTGTGAAGCAGCAGCAGAGGAGAGTCCAGATGAGGACGGAGATCAAAGTCATGTTTTTGATGAGGAGGATTTCTGTGTCTGCTGTTGTCATGAAGGACAGCTGTCAGTCATCCAGTGTTCAACTCTCAGGACTATAAACTCTCCCAGAGCACTGGAGCATGGTGCTGCTGATGCAAAGTGGCTCTCTATGGAAATGTATGAGAGACCATGTCAGATGAAGAGTTTCTGATCGTGGGTGATACTTAATACATTCTGGGATTACGTCATGCAGGTAGAAACGAGGTGTGACTGAAGAATGAAAATAGGTCATTTATATTAAATCATATTAAAAGGTTGTTTAGAAAAACATCAAATAATAAATAGTGTTTTAAGGATTAGAAACAATATGTTTTAGTATTGTCAACATAAGATCAAGCAAACCACAAAGTATTAGCCACCATGGGAGATAACTTGTGCCCCCCCATACTTTGTGTTTGTGAGAAAGAGGTGAAACAACATCCAATAACACAAACAGGGCGATCTATAATCCCTTTTGCATTAGAATTAGTATTTAAAGAGCTTCCTTAGCTCAATGAGACTCTGAGACGTATGGGGTAACATCATTTCATTTGAGCGAGGCTGACCTGGACACGTGTGTTCCTATCTTAATAATCACAGTAGATCATTGAATTTACACTGACAGTGTTTGTCCCTGAGTCAAATCTGAACTATTTAATACAGGTGATCATTTTAATAAAGAAATGTAAGGATTATGCACACAGCACATCTGATAGCTCTGTCAGTACAATCTGATTTATACCTCTGTGTGTGTTTGTATTAATATCTTCTTCTTATTTGCAATATCTCTTAAGAACACAGAGGGTCATGCTGTCACTTAAGTACAAGTTTAAAAAACGTTTTATGCTTCGTAGCAGCGATACGCAGACTGTATACACACCACAAGAGCTGCATGCTCTGCATTGTGTACTTCTGGATTGCTGTTATATTGCCATTCCTGCTTTTCATCAGGCCCTCATATTGTGACATTTTCATCTGCTCATTAACTGTCTCACGTTAGCACCATTCTATTAACTGAACAATACATAAGATTATATAACTATAATAGGATATAAATGGATGGTGAGAAGCTGTGATAGAGAAAGTAAAATGGATTTCCAACAAGATTATCTTTTACTGTGTTGATACATGTTAAGTGAAGTGTATCAGTCTCTGCAGTAGCTTCCAGCTGCAGCAGTCAGTTCAGTTTCTGTTCTGTCTGACTGAGGGAGGTTTTTGTACGACGCTTTTTCACTGTGTGAACACATACTGACTGTTGATAACATGAAAACTCTGACAGTAGTAAACTGCTGCATCTTCAGTCTGGACTCCACTGATGGTCAGAGTGAAGTCAGAGTTTGATCCACTGCCTGTAAAACGACCTGGAATCCCTGATGCTCGATTGCTAGTATAGTAAATGAGCAGTTTAGGAGTTTCTCCATCTCTCTGTTGGTACCAGGCTAAATAGCTCCCACCATGAACATTCTGACTGGTCCTACATGTGATGGAGACGGAGCCTCCCAGAGCAGAGCTCACTGCTCCAGACTGAGTCACTGTGTACTGGCCTCTGGACTCTGAGGATACA